CACTGGACTTGATCAAAAATCCAGTTTTCCACAAGAGAACCAAACATATTGAGGTCCAGTACCATTACATAAGAGAAAAATATGAAGAAAAACTTTTTGAACTACAATACATCAAAACTCTGGAGCAGACTGCAAACATACTGACAACAAAACCTTTGGCAAGAGATATTTTTGAAACGCACCGTGATGAAATCTGTAGCAACTGTGAATGATTTTTTTTCAATAAAATAGTGGGTGTTGAAAATATTTTCTTGAATGGANAGATATTGAGGCTAATGTGTTTTCTGTACAAAAGATACATACATGTGTGCTTTAAATAAATCTTATTTCGTTTATTAAATCATATGTTAATTATTTATTTAAGGCCTGATAATCAACATGTTCTTTTTTATTTATAATTGTAAAGTGTAAATTATATGTTATTGGTATACTTTGTGAGTGTATCATTATTCGAGATTTTCATTATATTTTCTGGATTTATTCTTTAAACATCTTTCGTGGGTGGTGGAATTAAACACCGCCACGGTAGAATATGCATTTGTCACAGAGTGACAACATTCGCAAAAGAGTTTCATTTTTGGCACAAAGAAGTTGTAATATTGTAGAGGTCCCCAGGATTTTTTTTTATTTTTATTATTTTAAGTGACCAATAATTCGTCGTTTGTTCGACAGAAATAAAAGTTTGATCATCTTTCATTTATTAATGAAAAATTAGACAAATTTTCACGCTCAAGTTAGCCCCCCCCTTTTAGAAAATGTAACTTTTTTGCTTTAAATTGATCAATTAATATTCAGTATCGTTTGTTCGACAATCATTTACGTTTGTTTGATTATAAATAATGTTTAATTACAATTTTTTCAATATTAAACTATTTCAAAACTATACATTTACGTCATCGATTAGAAATTATAAACCTGTAATTCACGTTGAGGTGCATTTAAGTTTGAAGACTGATGGCGTTTACCATAGTCTTTTACGCATTACTCATTGATATGCTGATTCAATAAAAAAATTTAAAAAATTGTAATTAAACATTATTTACAATCCAACAAACGTAATTAATCGTCAAATAAACGATACCGAATATTAATTGACTTAAAGAAAAAGAAAATTTTTTCTACATGCGGGGGGGGACTAAATTGACAGTGAAAATTTGTTTAATATTTTATAAATTATCGAAAGACGAACAAATGATTATGGGAAAGATTGTAGGAATAAAGGAATAGAAGGCGCCACAAGTATGACCTATTTACACTTAAATTTCGTTTGAGGTTTATAACGAAGTTGGCACTCCACTTCGAAAATCGGTTATCTCTGGTTGAAACCGTAGTTTTTGGCGCGCGTTTGAGTTTAATCTGTAAACTATTGGAAAAAATAGATAGAGGACTACTGTGAAAGCTGGTTAGGAATATGGTAACGAGTCCAGCAAAGGATTGATATTGTATCACTGCAGAATAAATATAGTGTGAGATATATTGGAAGTGCTAATGGAGAGTACCCCTCTGCTGCTCTCCTTCTTATTGTGATACTTGAGTAATCCTGGAGTCTTCTAGACTCTAGTGGAATTACTTGGGATAATTCCCGCGTTCTTAGATTGACGCTAGTATCCAGTGCCATTAACGCCGACCGGGTAGAGAGGACAGCTACCCGGATAGTAAACCAGGTGGGTGAATTCACCTGAGACAGGAAATCAATATCTTTTTCTCCGAGGACTTAGTTGTATTAAGCTAAATACTTAGATTATAATACCATGTACCGAAGGTGAGTACAATCTATTATTTTCGATCCGGATTGACCTAGACCTACGAATTCCTGATCTTTAATGTCAGAAGGATGAATTCTAATTTCGTTATAGTGGCGCTCAAAGGGCTTAATTAAGACGGCAATTAAGATCTTTTAACATCTTTTTAATTAACATCTGAAAGTTCTGCAATTTTTTTTATACGAGAATTGACACATAATAAATTCTGATAAATTTATTTTTCACGCAAGGCATTTAAGGCTAAGGGTTTTGTATATTCCATGTAAAGATTCATTTTGTTATTATTTCATGTTATAGATTTATTTATTTATTAAACCAGTACAAAATTTTTGTCAGAAAAGGGTACTTTGTTTCAAGGCTAAAATATCACAGAGAAGATAGTTTTAGAAACAGAGAAAAAAGTCACGAAGTACAGTAGATAATCCCCTAAGAAATTTGAAGGTTGTACTTACCTAGAGAATTAGCCAGGAAAAAGTACATTCGGGTCGACAGAAATCAAAAAGAAAAAAAAATATATATATAGAATACTCTAGTTTAGTGTCTTTTGATGTTAGTATTCGTTAAAATACTAAGAAAACACTAACAATAACGAATAACAATTTATATACAAAAAGAACAAGATAACACAACAGCAACAATAATAAAAACAACAACAAAAATGAAAACAATGTAGAGAATAATAGAAATACAAACGGTAGTAGAGGCGGTAGACGGAAGACTGTCTCAAGATATGAATTTTTGGGAGTAGTATTACACTAGTATTATAATTATTACAGATGTGTATTATTTGGGTACTTAGATTATAGTGATTATTATTGTCGACCAACACATGCACTAATTGTATATATGTTATAGGTTCATATTATTGTAAGTCCATATAATGGAATTAAAATAAAATTTAGGTATAAATTGCAATAATAATTAAAAGTAATTTGAATAAAACGATATTGTATTCATTTAGAGGGTCTTTCTCGATATCAAAATGGTACGACGAACTAGAATGTCGAGACGGAGCTTACGGAATGAACTGAATAACAGTAGACAGAATAATAAATATACAACCACTGGATGTATTATCATCAGATTATAAAAGCACAACGCTACCAAATAATTTTATAGTTCAAGCAGTGATGAAAAATGTTAGGATACGGAAACGTAATAATAAATTTAATCGTAAAAAATATATCATTTTCAAGAGAATTGGATGAAATAACTCAGACTGATACAGACAGAAGAGAACAGTTCATGGATATGGTCGGCAGCAGGGCAGAACATAACTGATACAGTGTATTAAACTATTATTAGTGTTGAGAAGAGTAGATTCGAAATAGGATAACACAATTCTGAAAGCTGTTCCGGAAACACCGCATAACACAAGAAGCTTGCTATTAGAAGAACTACGAATAGACGAAGGGAAGACGCAATAATTGATTATCTTGTGGAATCAATATCAAGAACAAACCATATAACAGGAAGCAGCCAGCGTAGATCTCAACAGAACAATTACAGAGAAATAAACCGTCAAGAGACAGCTGGTGATCGACAGGGATCCGAAGAGGATATTGAAATAATTAATTATAATAACGGATCTCAACAGCGCAGACCCCAACAACATACTAGAAGGAATGAACCGCATAATTATAGAACATAGGGGTTTCCCCAAATAAGTCAATTTCCTATGAATCAATATAATTCTATGAATCGATTTAATAATGTAACATATGTCAGAGAAAATTGAATGGTCCGGACTGCAAAATTAATAAAAAATTTAAAAGCAATTGCACGTAGCACGGAATTGAAATATCCTGTATCGGGATGTTTTCCAAAAGCACATCTACTGGCGCGAAGAACTTCAACTAAAATTTTAAGACAGAATTTCATTGGTGAAGATAGCTATTTGGTCAGTAAAGACTGGATCAAACAGAATATGAGAGCGTGGCGGTTCTGGAAGGGCTTGCTTTGTATTCTCATTCCATAAGGCAAGGAAGGATACAGATATATTGAAAAAGATCTGTGATATCTATCACCGAAAGTCTGATTGCCCGAAGGAATTTGACAAGAAAATGAGAACCAAATTCCAAGAGATGTCAAAGCAACTACCAGTGACAGAAATGGTAGAATTAATTATGTCCAAGCTGTATGTGAGATTACAAACCATAATATACACCAACAGCGAATGACTGACAGGCAGACGAGGTGATGAGGAAATCAACAGTCCGTAAATTGGCGAAAGCAAAAAATTCCCTTACAGAGTCATCGTTAAAGGAATCTTCAGAAGAAGCAGAGATGGTAAGGACATTTTCAGGAATAACAACTGACCAGAAGAAAAGGAAAGCGGAACGGAAAAAAAGAGACAAAAGCATTTCCGATACGAACTCTAAAAAAAAGGAACTCAGTATCAAAAGTGGAGAGAACAATTGATAGTAAATATGTAAACTTGAGAAAGCCGAGAAGAGATCAATCAACATCAGGACGAACTCAGTTTACTAGATTCTCCTGCACACCACCTTCGCCAGGGAGAGGAAGTCCTGCACTCAGTACAACAGTCAAGCACTGATAGCGAGGAGACAATGGATACAGACCTTGGAAGTAAGAGTAAGTTATGTAATGAAGAGAGTGGAAAATTATTACAAATCGTTGAACCGCTGCTTTCGAAAAGTACAGAAAGGGGATGTATCACAAGCAGAAAATATCAACCCAACTAGACCGCCACAGGCAGTATTCTGGGGTGGCAAAGTGTCGACCGCAAGTAGTCAGATTAACTGTGTCGTACATTCGACCTTCTTTCGTCCTCGGCGTTATTTAACAGTTGTTGTGCCCACCTATGTAGTGGTAACGCGGTAGCTAGGGAGTATGTGTGTAAGGGCAGAATGCGCAGGTCGGGAGGCAGACACAGGGTTAGAGCGGTAGCGCATGGTCGCTTTTTACATTGTAGAAGAATTAATAAATGCAATCTTGTTGTTTGATGTAATGCAAGTGCTATTGTTCTTTACAAGTGCCTCCTCCTTATATTCTAACAATTGGCGACGAGGATAAAAAGGCAGTTTATTCATATATTTTTACGTACATACAAACCACGCCCGACTCTAACCTACATACACGGCGCCGATCGCGGGAGCGGATACAGTACAGTGCACGAAGTGTAGCTAACCTACAAGCTAGCACGTGTTTTTCAAATTCAGGTTACGACAAAGTATGGTCATTAACTCCTCTTGGGGCCCAGTCATACAGCGCAAGATGTCAGAAATCACATCAAATACACTGCAGATTGAATTTTTCAACAGCGAGGTTATTACATGGACTCGATGGGTGAAGAGATTCGAGGGCGCGTTTACACTAGCCAGCTGGGACCAGGGGCTGAAGGCCAAAGCCCTTTTACACTACATTGGGAATGCAGTTTACAATACATTGTGTGATAAGTCTGGAGCTGACGATCCCTATACAATGACATACGATGTTATTTGTACTAAACTCAAAGAACTCTACGAACCAACTGTGCTTGAGATAGCGGAGAGTTACAGATTTTACACTCGTAAGCAGGAGCAAGGCGAGTCAGTTCAAGCTTATGCAAATGCATTGAACAAACTAAGTGTTAACTGTGATTTTAAGGAACATGCTAAAAGAGCACTCAGAGATCAGTTTGTTATTGGCTTAGCTGATAAGCGTACACAAAATCGACTGTTAGAAACTAAGAATCCGACATTCGAATCTGCTCTACAGACAGCAGTTTCAATGGAGCTCACGTCAAAAGAATTTTCTGCTATGACTCAGAGTACAGTGACAGTTGATTTATTACATAAGAAGTACAAAAAGAGAAATAATACAGGGTACAGTCAGCCCAATAAGAAATACAACAGCGATGGCAAAAATGATAAGCCAAGTGGTGATAAGCAAGTACAGTGCTACAGATGTGGTGGGAGCCACTATCCAAAAAACTGCAAGTTGTCTAGTAAAATTAAGTGCAGATTCTGTGGAAAACTAGGACATGTTGAAAAGGTGTGCTTCAAGAAGAAAACGAACACTGATGAGGTGAATTATCAGGGAGCGGCTAGTGATTCAGATAGTGACTGCGAGGAGTATTGGCCTCTGTGTGTCCTGGAGGAGCTCAGCCCAAATGCGGATCAAGTTCACTCCGTTAAACACGCTTTGTCCGGAGGGAAAATATACTGCTTGGTGTCGGTCAACAGTGTCAAGGTGAAGTTCGAGGTGGATACGGGAGCTGCTGTGACTATCATGAATGCTGATCAAGCCAAAAGGATCCTGTCCGTATCAAGTGCTTGTGTGAAATTGTATAAGTCTGATTTACACTTAGTATCATATTGCAAAACACCTATTAATGTTCTCGGTTATGTTACTGTTGATGTTGTTTTCAAAAATTCAAAATTTACACTTAATTTGTATGTTACAGATGTACAGCGTGATCCACTCTTGGGTCGAGAATGGGTAATGCAGTTTATCAAATGTGAGGGTGCGGATGCAATTTTCGATTCAGTTTTGGCTGTGGAGGAAGCAGCAAATGTTGATGTTAATGCGGAAGTTAAGCAACTTTTACACAAATACAAAAATGTCCTAAGTACAGATATGACAGAAATTGAGGGTTTCAAGGCCAGTCTGACTTTGAGAGAAGGTGCAAAGGGAGTTTTCTTACGTGCCAGGCCCTTGCCGTTTGCATTAATTAAACCAGTTGAAGATAAGTTGAAAGTTTTAATTAAACAAGGGATACTAGTCAGAGTAGACACTTCTATTTGGGCAACCCCTATTGTACCTATTATGAAGAAAGACGGGTCAATACGTTTATGTGGCGACTACAGTGTGTCCGTAAACCCCCAATTAATAATTTGTGAGCATCCGCTACCGACCATTGATGAATTGCTAACCGATTTGCCTAATTGTATCGCGTTCGCGATTTTCGATGTCAAAAACGCGTATTTACAAGCTGGAGTTACGCCCGAAACAGCTGAAATCCTAACACTAAATACGTCACTTGGATTGCTGCAACCTACTCGTTTAATGTTTGGGGTTGCTTCAGCACCCGCAATTCGGCAACAATTCATGGATTCAAAACTTAAGCATCTAAAAGGAGTTAAAGTTTTCCAAGATGACATTAGGATAGCAGCTAAATCAATTACAGAATTTTTACAAACCGTAGACAAAGTTTTAAAATTTTTACATGATTGTAATGTCAAAATAAATGTCGAAAAGTCTAAGTTTTATGCGAAAAGTATTAAGTACTGCGGATATGTGATTGATGGAGATGGAGTTCATAAAGATAAAGCTAAGTTTGATGCAATTGTTAACATGCCTAGGCCGACGAATGTTACAGAGGTCAGAGCCTTTTGTGGCATGATAAATTTTTACAGTAGATTCATCAAAGATGCTAGTACAATTTTACATCCACTCAATCAGTTACTGTGTAATAATAATAAGTTCGAATGGAAAGAACCGCAAGAAGTGGCTTTCCAGCGAGCTAAAGAAGCTTTTGTTAGTAATAAAGTTTTACAGTTTTTTGATCCTTCAGTACCACTGGTGCTTGCCACGGACGCGAGCCCGGTTGGTCTGGGTGCTGTTTTATCTCACCGATACCCAGATAAGATTGAAAAACCGATTCAATTTATTTCTAAAGCACTTAGTGATTTGCAACGTAGATATAGTCAAATTGACAGGGAAGCTCTTGCCATTGTGTGGGCGATTAAGAGATTGTTTAAGTATTTGTACAGTCAAAAATTCATTCTCGTTACTGATAGTAGAGCATTAACGCATATTTTTGATTCAAATAAACAATTACCAGTGTATAGTGCATTACGAATGCAGCATTATGCAATTTTTCTTAGAGCATTTCGATACACCATAGAATTTCGCAAGTCAGAACACAATGGCAATGTTGATTGCTTGTCAAGACTCCCTATGGGAGAACCTAAGTCAAATGTTGATGTTATAGATATATTTTATTGTGACGTATTAAGTAACTTACCTGTAAGTGCGACTGAAATTTTAGAAGAAACTAAGAAAGATAGTGAGTTGAAAAAGCTGTATAAAATGTTAAAGTTAGACAGTAGAGTAGATAAGAATGATACCTGAGGTATTGATGTACATGAGTTTGCGATAGAAAGCGGAATATTATTGCGAAATCATTGCGTTATTATACCAACGTCGTTGCGTAAAAAGATACTGAGTGAGTTACATTCTGGGCACTTTGGAGCAGCTAAGATGAAGGGACTAGCTAGGAGTTACTGCTGGTGGTACGGAATTAACAAAGATATTGAAAATCTAGTTTCTAGTTGCAGTAATTGTCAATCACAATTACCAAATCCAAGTAAAGTTGAACCTCACATATGGGAACCAGCAGTGGCCCCTTTTGAAAGAGTTCATATTGATCGTGCAAGCCGTACATGGGCCATACTTTCTTTTTGTTAATTGATGCATACTCAAAGTGGCCAGAAGTTCACATACTGAAGAATATGCTTGCGGAGACCACAATTTTAGTCTGTAAAAAAATCTTTTCGGTTTATGGATCACCCCGGATATTGGTCTCGGATAATGCACGAACCTTCGTTTCAACTAGCTTTGAAAAATTTCTGTGTGAACATGGCGTTTACCATCGATTATCGGCACCCTATCACCCAGCTACCAATGGCCAGGCAGAGAGGTTCGTCCAGACAATCAAGAAAGCCCTAGCAAAAATCCCAGCGAAGTCTAACATCCAATATGAATTGCAAGAAATCCTGACGCAGTACAGGAATATGCCGCATGCTCAAACAGGCCTCTCCCCAGCGGAAATGGTTTTCAATCGAAAGATAAGGGGAAGATTGGATCTGCTAAAACAAACACGAAGGAAGGATTGCAATATCGACAAGGATAGCAGAACTTTTAAAGAGGGGGAGAGAGTGATAGCTCGTGAGTACGTTGGGAAAACTAAATGGAAATTCGGTACAGTTAAAAAAAGGACAGGAAAACTACACTATAGGGTGCGCACCGATTGTGGCCAAGATTGGCGCAGACATACAAATCAGCTCAGGAGAACTGGAGTGCAGCTCGCATTGCATGTGAATGAATTTGACTATTACATTCCTCCAGAGGAGCGCATACAAGTGTTGCGTACGGATGAAAACGCGCCTCAGGCGCATGAAGAGCAGCCTGATAATGTAGCAACCTACAGAGCAGTTGAATCAGCCGAAGCGCAAGATAACATGACTGAGCTTGTACAGCTAGCTGCACCACCCGCATTGCAGCGCAGAAACCTACTCCGGAAAAGGAGAAGGCCCGAGAAACTGCATGACTATATTGTGGATGTCAGCCCGGATGAGGTCGAGGATCCAGTGGAAGATTTGCATAGTTTTAATATAGATTAAGCAAACTTATCTACGCGGGGGAGTGTTGTGCCCACCTATGTAGTGGTAACGCGGTAGCTAGGGAGTATGTGTGTAAGGGCAGAATGCGCAGGTCGGGAGACAGACACAAGGTTAGAGCGGTAGCGCATGGTCGCTTTTTACATTGTAGAAGAATTATTAAATGCAATCTTGTTGTTTGATGTAATGCAAGTGCTATTGTTCTTTACAAGTGCCTCCTCCTTATATTCTAACAACAGTGAAACGAATCGTAACTTTATGACTGAGCGGATAGCGCGCAAAATCATGTGACAGTCACAAACCAATCAGAAAAATACTGCGTAAATCTTTGCGCAGTAGTTACGCGTCAATTTTGAATATAAAACGTATAATATGCTTCTGCGCATCTACTTTTTCATTCGCTGAGCAACGTAAGAGAAGTTTGGTGTGAGAAGTGGGAAGTGGGGACGAAAAGTTTGAAAATACATGAGTAAAATCAATTGAAAATAAATGGTATTGAAAATACATGAGTTCTACATTTTGCCTACTCTACATTCTTAACGCTGAACTAAATGAACTACTGAAGTATAATAGTGAATTAGTTCACTTCATTGAAGAAGGTTTATTGAACTACGTCAGTGAATTGAACTACAATTCCCAAGTCTAGATGTCACCAGCGATTACCAGGGACGTCGAGGCATGTAATTGACCTGCCATCCATACTCGATTACACTAAGCAACAGTATTCCATAGTATAGTCAGGCTAGTTACAGTTTCGAGTTTATTTCTCATCCACTTCGGTGGAGCTGAATGCACTGCGCGAATATAGGATGCCATAATTAAATACTGTTCAATACTACAATATTTAGATGCAATGATATTATACTAGTTTTCGTTTTTCTATAATGATACTTGATATGTTCTATGATTAGTTTAGTTGATAACTATTCTCACTGTTATATTCTATAAGTTAGTAAGTACAAGTAAAGCTAAATCAGTATTATTGAATAGAACAATGTTGTTGCCAATCAAAGTCAGATATAGTTCGTAGTGTGATATACTCCAAATATTAAGTATAACGTTAAAAATGTTTTAATAATACTGTAACTGAGTGAGCAGAATGAATGTTTAGACAGTGCAATTGGATACTGCCTGAGATCACCGATTTTATTATCGTGTGTGACTGACACTGGTTGACCGATAACCCCGCTATCAATCAAGGGGGGTGGTGTAATGAAGTTGGCGCTCCACTTCGAAAATCTGTTATCTCCGGTTGAGACCGTGGTTTTTGGCGCGCGTTTGAGCTTAATCTGTAAACTATTGAAGAAAAATATGGTTCCTGGTTAGGAATATTGTAACGAGTCCAGCAGAGGATTGACGTTGCATCAGTGCAGAATAAATATAATGTGAGATATATTGGAAGTGCTAATTGTGAGTACCTATCTCTTCCTCTCCTTCATATTGTGATACTTGAGTAATACTGGAGTCTTCTAGGCTCTAATGGAATTACTTGGGTTAATTCCTCTGCCAATATTCTAAAAGCTGTTTGGCTCCCGCGTTCTTAGATCGACACTAGTATCCGTTGCCCTTAACGCCGACCGAGTAGAGAAGACAGCTACACGGCAGTTAACCAGGAGGGTGAATTCACCTGGGACAGGCAATCAATATCTATGTAGTCACCCTGTGTGTGGTCGTAGTAAGAGGTGACTATCAAGGTTCTGGTTCTGAGAAGAACCGATTTATAATATCGTTGGATACATTATCTGTATCATTGATGATTGGCANCTAGCTAGGAGTTACTGCTGGTGGTACGGAATTAACAAAGATATTGAAAATCTAGTTTCTAGTTGCAGTAATTGTCAATCACAATTACCAAATCCAAGTAAAGTTGAACCTCACATATGGGAACCAGCAGTGGCCCCTTTTGAAAGAGTTCATATTGATCGTGCAAGCCGTACATGGGCCATACTTTCTTTTTGTTAATTGATGCATACTCAAAGTGGCCAGAAGTTCACATACTGAAGAATATGCTTGCGGAGACCACAATTTTAGTCTGTAAAAAAATCTTTTCGGTTTATGGATCACCCCGGATATTGGTCTCGGATAATGCACGAACCTTCGTTTCAACTAGCTTTGAAAAATTTCTGTGTGAACATGGCGTTTACCATCGATTATCGGCACCCTATCACCCAGCTACCAATGGCCAGGCAGAGAGGTTCGTCCAGACAATCAAGAAAGCCCTAGCAAAAATCCCAGCGAAGTCTAACATCCAATATGAATTGCAAGAAATCCTGACGCAGTACAGGAATATGCCGCATGCTCAAACAGGCCTCTCCCCAGCGGAAATGGTTTTCAATCGAAAGATAAGGGGAAGATTGGATCTGCTAAAACAAACACGTGTACCTAAAAGGAAGGATTGCAATATCGACAAGGATAGCAGAACTTTTAAAGAGGGGGAGAGAGTGATAGCTCGTGAGTACGTTGGGAAAACTAAATGGAAATTCGGTACAATTAAAAAAAACGACAGGAAAACTACACTATAGAGTGCGCACCGATTGTGGCCAAGATTGGTGCAGACATACAAATCAGCTCAGGAGAACTGGAGTGCAGCTCGCATTGCCGGTGAATGAATTTGACTATTACATTCCTCCAGAGGAGCGCATACAAGTATTGCGTACGTATGAGAACGCGCCTCAAGCGCATGAAGAGCAGCCTGATAATGTAGCAACCTACAGAGCAGCTGAAGCAGCCGAAGCGCAAGACAACATAGCTGAGCTTGTACAGCTAGCCGCACCACCCGCATTGCAGCGCAGAAACCCACTCCGGAGAAGGAGAAGGCCCGAGAAACTGCATGATTATATTGTGGATGTCAGCCTGGATGAGGTCGAGGATCCAGTTGAAGATTTGCATAGTTTTAATATAGATTAAGCAAACTTATCTACGCGGGGGAGTGTTGTGCCCACGTATGTAGTGGTAACGCGGTAGCTAGGGAGTGTGTGTAAGGGAGAGAGAGTGCGCAGGTCGTCAGATAGACACAGGGTTAGAGCGGTAGCGCATGGTCGCTTTTTACATTGTAGAAGGATTAATAAATGCAATCCTGTTGTTTGATGTAATGCAAGTGCTATTGTTCTTTACATGTGCCTCCTCCTTACATTCTAACAATGACGATGTTAATGATGTTGACAATGACGATGATAACAATGACGACGATATCGACGAAAGAAAATGGTAATGGAATTATTATAGAATTAGATGCTAGTATTACTACAAGTAATATAAATATTAGACATACTGGTATATCATCTCTAGTTTCAAAAATTCGGAAAGTAGTGAAAACATTTAAAAATTCACCTTCTAAAAATGTTAAATATTTACAAAAGTACGTGAGAGAACAATTAGGTAAAGAAACAGCGCTAAGATTAGATTGTTAAACAAGAAAGAAAAAAAAAGCGCTTATTGACATTAAAGTCCAAAGAATAATACAACAAAAATATGTACCCTTAATAAATTAACGTAAAAATATATTATTTCTTCTTCATTGCCTAATATTCATCTTAAAAAGCAATGAAAGAGAAAAGGCGTAAGNGTAATTCCGTAGGCCTCAAAACTGCGGTCGACCATGCAAAACCAGAGTTCGGGGTCGGAAGGCACGAAGGGTGGCAATTTGACTTCTAGTCGGTCAAGGGACATGGTTAACGGCGGCGTGTTGTGGCAAGGTTGGGCGTCACGTTGCGGCTGGCCTTGGCTGTGTTGTTAGCTTACATGCTGCTTGCTGTGGAGCAGAGTTGCGCTGCTCCGCAGGGTGACCATTGTAGTCCTGATGAGGACTGGCCGGTGGAGAATGTGTGACGGATAAGACGGCGGCAGATCATCTTCAGAAGGTTCCGGCTGTGGTCACCAATGTAGTTTATCACTGTTCGTAGTCGGGGTCACCACTCGTAGTTCATCACTGACCATGCGTATCACGTCGGGGTCACCACTGTAGTCACCCCGTGTGTGGTCGTAGTAAGAGGTGACTATCAAGGTTCTGGTTCTGAGAAGAACCGATTTATAATATCGTTGGATACATTATCTGTATCATTGATGATTGGCACAAGATCACAGCTTCCAAGGGTTGACGCTTTATCAGCGTTCGAATAATAGCGAGCCTGGTGTTAGACTAGTTTATTGAAATATTTACAGGGTATTTATACAGAATTATTTACATGGTATTATACGGCAAAGAACATTTCAGCACATTACATTTGTGTGTGTATTTGCTGTTGACCCAGTTAGTCGCAGTGTGTCGCGACCTAACTAAGTCAGCACAAATGTAGACGCTTAATTGATACACAACAATAAATGTTTTTCGCTATACCGAGTGTTCCCACATCTACTTCGCCGAAAACGTAGTCGTATTAAGCTGAATACCTAGATTGCTGCCCAATCTGCTGCGACGATAAAAATTTCCTAAATTTAGTAATAGCGAATATTATTGCTAGACCTGCTCCTAAACCTACTGGACTAGCGTCACAGCTAATTACTATTGGTAATGTTGGGTCCTAATGTACAAGTAACGAGTCTGATGTTAAAGATTTCTTACATACCTGAAATACTTTTTCACATTCCGTTGACCAAACAAATGTCCTGTTTTTTCCTGTAAGTGCACGGAGTGGTTTTGCTATTGAACTTAAGTTAGGTATGAATATAGCATAAACATTTAATTTGATACAGATGGCTGACGACCTTTTTCGGATATGGTGAACCCTAAGTACTCTACTTTATTGACGAACCATGTACATTTGCTTTCGCGAATTTGAACTCCAAACTTGTTTAACCTGTCGAGTATTTTTACAACTGTTTTATAACAGTCTTGCTTATCGCTTCTCTTGATGAGTATGTCATCAATATAGCAAGAAACCTGTGGAATGCCGTTCAATATATAGTCCATGGTTTTTAGGAAGATTGCAGGCGCACTTGCTAGAATATATATAAGTCGCCTGAACCTGTATAATCCTCTTTGTGTGTTGATTGTGACTAGTTAT